AGTTTAAAAAAAATTGTGGCAATATCTACAATGAATACAAAATAACAAGTTCCTAATTAACGTAACTATTTTAATTCCGTTGAACGGATTTAACTAATATTTACAGTTACTTATCAGTTCAAAAGAACGAGTAATGTAATGTTCTAATAGATTGTCCCTGAAGATAAGAAACCAAATTAGGGTAGATGGGTACCAACTGATGTTTATTTACTAGAAATTATTATAATTCTACTCAAATATGATTAAGAATATTATAAAATTCTTTCATTTCACGATTAACAATTAAGTAACATTAATTTGTTTGTTTACAGGAGGATATTCCCAATAACTCCACACTTCGTAAATGCCATACAAATCTTGTTGTACTAGAATACAAAGCGAGTTATTTCAGGTGTAGAAATCAACCGAGCGTTTTCGACACAGTATTGAAAAAAATGTTTTCTTAACCTTTTTACCCCAGAATTATAAATACCCGTGGACAGTTTTAATAACTGCAATTTTGTCGCAGTTTTTATGTCTCTCACCGAAACGTGGTTGCGCATGCCTGAAATTCGGAGAGCCGCTGTACGATCCGGAGGTCATTTGCATGGAAAGGCACGCTGCTTCTAAACTTTGGTAACCGCAGGCGGTGACAAAAGTGTGTCGCGCTCTGATTCGCCAATGTAATTGTACAGCAGTCCCATGTTTCGTAAAATAATTCACAAGGCATTTCCTATAATTTCATTTTTTCTATACTTTAAAGAAACGTTCCTGAAACTTCAAACGGGATTTTTTTTTCACTACCCCGATGTACACTGTAATGAGAATATTACATACCGAATGAAGATGATTCTTTCTCTATATATTAAGATTTAATTAATAATATCAAGATTTAATAACTTGAAGGATATAATACTAAAATGTTTGAGTTTATTTAGAACAATAATTTGTATTTTATCAGTGTTACTAAATTTGGGTAATGAAATGAAGAGCATACCTTCTGAAATTTATACTACTAGCAGCACACGATTTGTCGACCCGTCTCGCACATGTCGACTTTAAACGTTTCCGAATTGATAGTTCGTCGCAAATTATTTTTCTATTAAGTTGCTGTTTGAGTGTGATCGAAAAGAGGAATTTTGTAACTGTAGAAACAAGCTGTGTATCAGAAAACTACAATACCGTGCGGGAAAAATTTGCAGGCTTCTATACAAATTATAACCGAGCATCAGCAATAGACATTGGGTCTAGTTCAGAGCCAATATTGCCAGTCTCTGCAGCGAGTATGACTGGAAGATCCTCAGGTTCGAATTCTGACTGAGAGTAATTTTCGACGCAAGCTAGATAGATCAAATTAAGCTATCTAGAGGACAATAGCGACCGGCTGCTCTAATAAGTAGTTTTCTGTGATAACTCCAATCAACACCAGGTGAATGTCGGTGCCATTACAAACGAGCCACACGAACCTCGCGCGATCTTTCCTTCCTCTTCTGTGTTCTATCTTTACATCTTACTTACACACACTTATATGCACTATATTACAGCACATGTCGGCAGCTTGGAGCTTATCCCGGCTGGGTCGGTACTTCACTGATGGGAGGGATCTCGTAGAGGAAAACCCGCCAAGCCGACATGTAGGTCGATGCTAAATCTCACCATCCTGCGGGGGAAGATCACCACCACCTCCCGTGATAAGTGCGTGAACTACACTTACGGGATAAAAGCCAAACACGTTGTCGCGCCCGTAAATACCAATCAATCAACGTTCCTCACTCGATGGTGAGATCCGGTGCCGACCTACAAGTCATTGTGCAAGGTATTTCTCCCTGCAGGTATCTCCTAGCAGGACACCGCCATAGCCAGGACAAGCTTCAAGCTCTCAACTGGTCTCCCGACATGAACCGTCGTGTAGTGGATGTGAGGGTATAAGTAAGGGGAGGGAGTAGGGCAAGGAAGAGGAAGGAAAAATCGCGCACAGTCCGTGAGCCAATTGTTGCCTGCTCCACCATTGACCCGTATGCCGGATATCTGTACAGAGCACACCTAACTTTCACTACACATTTTTATAAATATAATAGCAATTACAGTTATCTAATAGATAGGTCTATTTCAGCCGCTATCTGCCCTTTTCTCACTAGCACTCTCCCTCCTCTATACCACAAATGCAAACTTCTCTTAGTGAAGTAATCCAAATATGAAATTTTTAAAAAATAGTGAAGGGTTATTCCGAAACCCGCATTTGCCTGAGGACGGCCAAGTAAAGTCATTGTATTGTACCCGTCATAACCCCCGAAAGAAAAAAATCGAACGGGAAGAAAATAAATTTAAAAAAGCCGCTATCTGAAGGCGAATTCTAAAGGTCGGCTGCTCTAATCGGTAGTTTTCTCTGACGAGCTGCTGGTGGTCAGAGAAACCACGGAAAATTCTATTTATAAAAAGGAGCAGTGAAATTTAGGTGTGCACTGCACAGATACCCAGCATTAGGGTGAATGGCAACTGTAGTATTGCAATTCAGGTCATACAAAAAAAGGAATGTGTGAGTGATCTGCATTTTTAGAGGAGATTTTGGCCAATTTGCCAGCAAAGAGAACAGATGTCTATAACCAGTTTTATACAAAGATATATTCTTGAAATAGAATGTATTCTAGGTTTACATTCAACGTCATTTGCAAAGAAGTTATTGCAATTGCTGCCAATAGCAGACGTTAACCATTTTATCCCATCCTCCGAAAATCTAGATGAAATGTTAGTTGTAGATAGAACTATATGTGATACCCTCCCATTGCCCATGATATTACCTTCCCTTTTACATTACCACTTATAAATTTAGAGAATTTGAACTGATACTCTTTTCCTGTCAAAATTGACACGTAAATGTGGTATCTAACTAGGTAAAAATTGGGAATAAACTTGAGAGGTTATATTGAAACTTGAAAACATGCTTCCAAAAAAAGATATTATGTATTAAGTTTTGCTTATTTTCTACTTTATATTTGAATTATAAGGTTACTTTCCCTTCATTTTATAATAATAAAGGGTTTAAAGCGACTGTGAAGGCTGAAAAATCTCACATTTCATTTTTTTGTGAACATTGCTCTTTCTATAAGCCTATAACGCAGAATAAAGTAAAACAAAACTTTCAAAACATTCTTCTGATACTCTTCTGTACACAGGCATGTCGTTAAATAGTTAGTCTCACTACCAACATTTACGTGGATCTTGCATGTTTAATCGTTCTCCTCTTCCAGGCGTTTGATCGAGTACAACTTGAAAACGGTGCGTCTTAAATACTGAAAGTCCAGAGTCAGGACCATCCCTCCCCCGTGAGGATTTATAAATTAGGATGTATTCTAAAGGATTTAGGATCCTTTTGAAAGTTTTATTACATTTTCTGGTATTAACTCTTTAGGGTATCTCAATTTGCAGCCTATCTTAGAAGGTCAGATACATGCAGATTGTGGTATTCTTGGCACATTAATATTGACAGTTTCAAATTCTGAGGAATGTGATTGCCCGAGTCTCTCTGTATCTCGCTTAAAGCAGCTTAGAAGTATTAATATAACGATTACCCACTCGTAGTACTGCACCTGTGTTTGGTAACGTGTTGTTGTTGGTTTAAATGAAGTTACTTTCACTTTCAAAATGATTTACGAAGTGTCGAATGTTTGCATGGGTAGTAATTTATACAGACCGTAATTTCAAAAAGAAAAAAGAAATAGATAGCTCTATAGAATGCAGGCGTTGTCTGGAGAATTATGTGACCTATTGCTCTGATCGGTACTTTTGCATGTTTTCTCCTATGAACACCACGCGAATACCACACCACCCTAACAAACGGGCCACGGACTATGCGCGATATTTCCCTCATCTTCCTTCTATCTTTACCCCTTACTTACACACAGTTACACTTGCATGCACTGCACATGTCGGGTGACCGGGACTCAGACGTTGTCCCGGTTGAGTCAGTGCTCCGCTGACGGAAGATACCTGGCTGGGGAAAACCCCGCAGGCAGACGTACAAGTCGTCGGCGCCACTGCTCACCATCCAACGGGTGCATAACACTGACACCTCCCGCGAAACAAACACTACACCTTCGGGCTAAACGCTACAGCCGTGGACGCGTCCGAAAACACGAAACAAATCAAGCTAAAGGGTCATTGGATGATATAATAACAGTTAACGAGTGGAAGGGTAGTTAGCGATGAGTTTTTAATTAATTTATGGTTGGATAACTAACGACTTATATAATGTATATTAAAGAAATTCATTCTTTATCAATTGTTCTCGTTATAAATATTGATAAGTCAACAAATATAAATACATTTTATATTCAGCATAAAAGAAAAATTATTTCCAAGGAAACATCTAATTGACTGGACACCACAGTTGTAACCCCCTATCTCAGAGAAAAGTTCCAGGTGCACCTCACCAAATCTCTCGAAAGGCTTCAATGATTTTACGAGGTAATTGTCACGTGACAGGCAACAGAGAAACTAGAATGTATTCCATAATACCATACATATCTTTGTCCGTCAAATCAAACTTGCTTAATGATGTAGTATCATACCTCCTGACAGTCTGAAAGAATTCTCATTATGAAAATGAATAAGGAAGTAGCCATAAAGTAGATACTTTTTTATTCAAAATATGCATACACATCACAGCACACTCACAGCAAGCAAGATAAAAATGATGTTCTTAGGATGGATTTTGATCATTTCGAATTTAATGTTACGTAACTAGCACGACTACATTAACAACTTTATGTACTCACAACTGTATTAACTTCGGCGTCCTTAATCAAAATATAAGTACATATTGGGGCACTGAATTGAGAACATGCTCACGCTTTGGCTGATTTAACGGATGGAAAGTTTTCAATTCCTTGGTAAAATTGGAGAAGATGTGCAAACACCACCACACTATTTTATTGGAATAAATACGCATAGCGGCGCCACCCCCAGGCCAACGTTGCCAGGAGGAGGCGAAGTGTGACCTGGAGGCCAGCCGCGTGCCTCACCTGCAGAGGCACGGGTTGCGGCGACGACTCGGGGTCCTGGACGGCGTTGCCCGCGGCCGCGTTTGACGAGGAGGCGTTGGAGGCGGTGGCGGGCGCGGGCGGCGTGACCACAGTCGGCGGCGGCGCGGGGGTGGGCGCGCGCGCGAGGACGGGCGCGGGGGTGGTGACGACGCGTCCAGCGGCGTCGAGGCGCACGACGGCGGCCACGGGCACGGGCCAGGAGCGGCTGCGCGCCAGGGGCGGCGGCGGCGGCGGCGCGGGGCCGCCCGCACTCCCCATCGCGACACGCGGCTCTCACCGAAGACGACGACGGCGGCGGCGGCGACGGCGTCGCGGCGGCGGCATGGGCTCACGGCGCCGGGGGTGCGAGCGCGGCGCCGGCGGCCGCGTGACTACTGAATGCCCGGCTTCGCGCTCCCGCGTCGCTGCCGCGCGCGCGCGCACCTGCTGCCCCGCCCCCCGCGTCGCCATGGCGACCCTGCGCCGCCGCCGACGCTGCCACCACGGCGACCCGCTGTGCATAGCTATGCGCGCCGCGGCGCCCACGCCCGCGTCTGGGAGCGCCGGCCCGCCGGGCATCCAAATCGCTTTGACGCCGAGCTGCGCTTCCGCTGCTTTATTACGACGCGAACACTCTCTCTTTGTAGGATGCACGCCCTAAATGAATAATATGTTTTATTACATACTTCAATTACAATTTGACACAAATATTTAAAATAATAATTATTAACAGAGGTGGTTAAGACGGACACGTTGGAACTAGCTCTGTACATGGGTCGCCGATTGGAATTTCAGGATATGGGATGATGTGTATGCGTTCTTTGTATTTGCCTCTTACTACTCTCCTTGAAAGAATTAAAAAATGGCAAGTAGACATCCCGCCCCATACAAATTTTGATAAATTCATAAAATTAAATAGTCACCAAATATTAACAAACGGACATTCATCTGCTGGTTCTGGAGATAATGTAAGAGATTTGCTTATTTTCGGTGTTGCTCTGCTTGATTAATTAACCAAAACCCTTACCTATTTGCGCACAATATGCATTTCATCAAGTCCTTGTTAATTTTTATTTCAATTAAAAAAGTTAGAAATTGTGAAAGCAGATAAGAAGATAGTTGTTAAAAATTTATTTATTTTCCATTTTAATTTACGAAATTAAGTGTTTCAGTATAAAAAAGAGACTGTTGGCGCGTGAACATTGAGTACTATTTCATATTATTGGTAATGGTGAGGTAATGTTAATAATTTTGCAACTTCTGTTCAGCTCTTGAGTTCAAAGTATTTTTACAAACAGTGTGAAAATAACAACAAATTTATTTTTCACTGATGGCATTTAGACTCGAACGCTAACATTGGTTCGCGAAGTATGAGCCATTCACCGGTACTGCCGAAACTTGTGTTGTCCCCGGTACATTTAACATTTTTTAATGAATTCTTAATGTGTCGCCAATTCACAATAAACTCCAAATAACGATAAAACTTCACATATTTTAAAAAGTGAAGATGAAATTGATGATCAATTGAATTAATATTGAAGAAAATGTTGCATTAACAAATAAATATCTTCCTTTAATAATATAGTAGAAGGAGGACGTCAAATTTATTACAACTTAACTAACTTTCACAATTTAAGGTGTTTTGATGAAAATATGAAATTTTATTAAGTAAATTTGACTCAGAGCAACAAACCAAGAAAAATCCGGAGCTGGTTTTTGAAAAAAGGCTATTCACATATTTTTACTTTCCTTCCCTACACTACATTTGTGGGAAGAAAAGGTAATGCAATCAACTAAACAATACGATCTCGGTCGTCCGGATAGTCGAGATCGATAAGGCAGTAGTACCGTGGCAATCGCGATTTGAAGGGTCGCGGGTTCGGGTTTCGCCTTGACGGTGGTTGTATTTGTGTTCGCATATTACCCCAAATCATCACCATATCACGTTATCTTCACCGGTACCGTAACGTTCAATCCAATAGTCGTAGCTGATGTGGTTATTGACGCGACCTTATATAACAAAAAAAAAAAAAAGATTTCGAATATCATTCGGAAATCCGGTGCTTAAGGTTATCTTCAGCTTTAATTTCCAACACACGTCAGGATTAAGATATATTAGTGTTGTTTTTTAAAGATGGTCAAGATTTGAACAGGTGAAGGAGAGATGAATGCAATTTCGATGCATCGAGATGTATCGAGAAAATTTAGATGTATACGTCGATAGATGCGTTACGCATACTCCCTTATATGAACATTTTTTGAGGCAATACTTGGTAAATATATAAGATCTAATAGTGCCCTTTCGGACATCATTAGGATATTTTAATTTTGGGGAGTTTTACCTGAAACCCTTACATTAATTTTAACATTTACATTATCTGGAAAATAGGTGAAACTTTTTTCTTGATATTTTAACTCGTATAGAAAAAATTCCATTTTTAAGTACGGAATACATAGTTTTCATTTTCTTTTAAAATCTCTAACATTTAGAAAATTGCAAAAATGTTTGTATTTAAAACATTAACGGTTTTCGTTTAGAAATAAAATTGAGCAGGGGCGGCTGGTGCCGAAAAAACGAGTTTGTTGCAGACATACGTCATTACTAAGGCTAAATTCTAACTCCCTCGATGACGTCATCTCTCGGACGCTCGCTTGGACCTCTCTTCGTCTGTTAAGGCTCGCAGATAAGACGTTCATTCGAGGATAGACCATTCGCACGTTAATAAAGAAATATAAGCACTGAGTTTTAATAAGATAATAAAACTAAGAGAATGAACGCATATGTTCCGTCATTTGTTCATTTATTGCATTGTGTGAGTTAAAATTGATCTATTGAGCGCATTCGACATTTACTCAAACAGGTGAGAGGTAAGGTAAGGTAAAGTACATTATTACCCGCCTGTTTCCAAAAGCATTATTCTCAGTTTCTCCATTTTATTCCGAAACAAAATTCTTTCTATCATCTCACTTTAGTTGCAATAGATATGTTTTAAATGATCTGAAAAATTTAATGTTTTTAAAGCATACCATTTTTGTAATTAATTAGATACCTCCTGGCATTTCAGTCATTAACATCGAGTATATAAAAAATAGCGCTGCAGTGTACTTACCGCCTCCACAATCTACAGTAGACTGGGTGTGTTTTCTTCAGTTTCCTTATGAAATATCACAGTTTAAATACCACCCTATTCGAAATACCTTCAAATAAATACCTTCAAATTTTAGAATATTCAGTGCCAGCACTGAGAAATTAATGTAGAAAATCTGTTCGAGTCTACGTACTCCAGTCGTAGTGAGCAAAAATTGTATTTTTGTGCTTCGAAAACTTCTCTGTGAATGTCAGGATAAGATTTCCTCAGCCTGATGTTTTGCTATTTTTGTACATATAAAACTCATTGTCATATTTTCCATAAATCAATTTCAGAAATAAAAAAATATTTGCTTGGCAATCCCCATTTTTTCACATCGATTTGCACGTTGTTTCAAAATTTTGACTTTACACCTGCTGATTTTTTTTAGAAACTGGAAACGGTTTTATTTTCGAATTAATAAACATTAACTTCTGCGATGAGCACTTTAAATAAATGTCATACTATCATTTGTGAAAATATTTACGAAAAAAATTAATGCTTGAAGTTCACTTTAAATGAAGACAGGTTAAGAAAAATTACAAAAATATTTTACTGACAACTATTCACTTTTTAAGCACAAATTATAAAACAATTTGCGTAATTGTACTGAACGTCAGAAACACCGCGTAATTGTAATTATCTATCGTACATAAGGCGTATTTGTCATCGTGCCTAGGGCTTATACCAGCATTTCCAATCACAGGGCACCAATACTGTTGTCACTGTTGATCTCGCCAACTCATCTAGTGTTGTTTGAAATGAATGTCATATTGAATCCATGCCAAAACTTAACCTTTGCAAGAGCATACGTTACGTGAAGTTACGGCTTCGAATAAATAACCATAAACGGGAAATATTTAACTTCATCATTGTCTTATCAATCATAGTAGACGTAAACAATATAATATTATACCTATGACTTGCTTTTGCTCGTACGCTGTTCTAGCTAAACGTTCTCTTTACTTTCAGTAATTTTGGTCCTTCCAATTGAATTCTCTTGAGTTCCCCTGTTTGTGAGGTTCCTTGAGAAGCGGAATATATCATTCATAGCACTTATAAATATTCAGTTTATATGAATTATTTTGTAGGCAACTGAAGAAACGTTAAAGATGCACTAGAGCGTGAAAAATATTAAAAATATTGCAGTGAGAATAAAATATTTGAGCAAACACTGACATTATAATCTACATTTAAGATACTTTAATAAAGTGATATGTGTTATTAAAGCAGAATATATTTATGTGATTGTTAGAACCTAGAGTTATGGGTATAACTTTTCGAGAAATAGAAACGCGTCAGTCACAGTTACAGCACAAGTATTTCCTTAAAATATATTTTCAAAACTGAAATCAAAATTGCATAAACGAACATTTGTAATACACAATCTGTGATCAAGGAATAAAAGTGTTCTAGTAGCGCATTCGGAACATCAGGCCTTTTAAGTATTATATTTTATAAATCTTGAAAAACGCAGACTGAAAATAGAAGATTAGAAATGGCGCTACTGTAGTTAAAGAGTCGTGTTGTACATTTTTTTCTGTGATTTGGTACATTTTTCTTCCTAGTGAGTGTTACAAATTTATCTTTGTGTGTAACATACACTATTCGTACATTTAGAATTGTTTTCATACAATGGGCATTCAGGCATTCTGGGGTGGGCAGTCATTTACAGGGATGTTATTGTTGTGTAACTACTACGCCACAGCCCATTCGGTATGAACAGGTGCTCAATTGTATAAATGATGCAATCTCCAACCCCGAATTGCTCTTCAACAGTGGAAGCAAGGAGGTGTTTAAAACAGCAACGTTGGCCTGTGCCGTGCCACTCTAAACAACAATGAGTGCAAGTCTCCTCCATGAAAAAGCTGACCACACAACACCATTTTGGACGTGTCCGGATACTTTTGATCACTTAGTATATATATATATATATATATATATATACTATCATATAATATATATATATATATATATATATATAGATATATAATATATATGAGAACCGAAGAACGTTTCGTATTGTATAAACAAAGTTGATCAATAATTATAATTAAAATAACTACTGAATTGATCAAGAGCAGTAACTGCCGCCCCGCCGCCGCTGCCCACCAAACGGTCAAATCGGGGGTTTGACGGCGAGGCGAGCAG